GAGCCCACGAAAAATAAAATAAAATTTTCTTTATAAAAAATTAATTGCATACTTGTGGGCTAACCAAATTGGTTCAGTCAGCTTTTGGATACCTGGATTTCAGGCTAGCTTCCTTTCTTCTTCATCAAGTTGCAAAGGGATACACTATTGTGTTCTACTCCCTCCATTCCAAAATAGATGACTCAACTTCATACTAACTTTGTATTAAAATTAGTACGAAGTTGAGTCATCTATTTTGGAACGGAGGGAGTATAGAATAATAGGTGTGATGAAATGTGATACTATTGATGAGAAAATATGCCAAACCTCATTCTGGTTTGCCAGAGCACTGGACTTGCCACACCAGCTTTAAAATGAGCAATTTCAGAAATAAGCAAAGCACAACAACAAAGCCTTAATCTATTTGAGGCGCACCAAGGGCATGTACAATGATTTGATAAGACAGTTTAATCTTAAACCTGCCACGTAATCTAGAGATACCAATAAAAACATGATGATCTCTTAGTCTTATCTCTAGTAACTAGATGTACCTAAATATGTGGGGACAGATATCTTTGCTAAGAGATCAGCTCTTAATTAAGAGAAGGCGTTTCTTTGTCTGCCACCTCAGCATTTATCTTACCGGGCACTCCTAAGATAGCACCATTGTACACAGATATAGCAACGTATAAAGTGAAGTCTAAGCATTGGACATGAGTGGCACTACACTGAATTGACATTCTTCATCTTATTCAGGCAAGAGTGCAGCAGCACAGGTAGGCTGGAACTTCCTATGGGTCGTCTTCTTCGGCCTAGCGGCAGTAGGAATCGCAGGATATGCAGTGTATAAGTATTGGATCCGGGTACACGATATGAACAACCTCTTACATGTTCATTAGCAACTCATAAAATCAAATCTAGGTCAGTACCATCTAACTCTCGGTTTGCTTCTCTGCACGCAGAGGTACATGGATTCAGAGATCCGCGCCATCATGGCGCAGTACATGCCCCTGGAGAACCAGGGAGAGATTCCCAGTCATTCTCACCATATTGAGATGTGAAGAACAACGCCAGAGCGGCTTATGGAACGAGCATTTTTTGTCTGGCATGTGTGATTGTAGTGATCTTATTGTACAGCATACTAAGACATCCTGTAAATTTCTAGATTAATCACTCACAGTGCCAAGACATAGCGGACTCCTTGTTGCTTGTTGCGAGGATGTTTAAACCGTACAGTCCAAAGTTCAAAATCATTACATACATAACTTCACGGAATTGGCGAATCATATCAGCCCCTTAGACCTTGCTGATAAGTGCACTTAATTATGAGCTTTGCTAGGGGTGGCTTAGCTGGAATAACA